GGTGGGTGGGTTTGAGGTCAGCCGACGAAGAAGAAGGGGGAAGTACCGACACTCAAAAACCGGTACAGAATTTGGTTTTACCTTCTAGTCTCACCGTCGATATTTTTTTTTTTTGTTTTTGTTTTAGTTAATATATTTGTTAATTTTAGTTATTTTCGTTCTTGACTCCTTTGAAAACCATTTCAAAAATTTACCAGAGAACCAGCTATCGCCAGACCCCTAATTGGCGCGCCATTTCTTGATTCGTTTGGCGATTCTACAAATAACCAAAAWTGCTAATGAAACCGTTTTGTGGTTTTGAAATTCAAGATTCAATTTATTAACGAAAACTGGCTCATCGGCGTTGTGGCAACGCCTAACCTTTGTAAAATTATTTCCAGTATCTGATTTATTTTATGTACCATCTTTTAAAGATATTTTATTCTTTTTTCATGGTGCCAGGAACGCTTGAGCCGTCCTGACCGTTATCTAACACATTCTTTCCATTTTTGTTCGATGTTATCGCTCACGACACTAGGAGTAGAAGGTGAAGGCAACCTGCTTCGGGGTCAAATTAAAGAACGTTTTGGATACGAGTTTCAAAACGGCCTGTTATGTTACTGAAACCAGTAGATATGCGTGCAAAAATTTACCCAGTGAAAATATAGTGCTGAAACCAAAAATTAAACAAAGACAGGGAAAATGAAAAGGGTTTTTCTAAGTTTTTTTTTTCATTGAGAATTCCTCAAAAACTAATGTTTCGAGATTTATTGGTTTTCATCGTAGTAAGTAGGTTGATTCTTCATTTTCAAACTCTGCCTTGTTTGCATTTTTTCTTTTTTTCTCGGTATACCTTTATTACCGTCATTACCTTGACTGTTTGTCCACAAAAGACCGCTGATAGGTATCACGCGGTTCCAGATAATCAAACGTTGCTGTTTATCTAGTCGTAACAGGGCTAAAAAACGAGTCAGCGGTTTTTGGTAAAAACGAGGGCTCAACTTCTTCCAATAAAAAACGCTTATGGTTCCAAAAATACTCAAAATCAGCTGTAAAAGATTTTCATCCCCGTCCCTAAACGTATAATGTTTTACGACTCGATGTTTAATTACACACCAGGGCTCTATCAGAATCTTCGGTTGTCGATCTCTAACGGTCCTCAAGTAAATGGCCTTCAGAGTCATTCAAGGTACTCCTAAGCCCTCCAAGGTTCGTTTAGCCTGTATCTTTCCAAGCCCCATTAAAGCAAACTCATTACTAAGGTAAGATGCATAGCATTTAATAAAACAAGTAAATCATAATACATAATAGTGTTACGTCAATGCTTTGGGAATGTTACTTGGTATTTAAATAAATGACTCTAGTTGTCCGCTGGAATGAACATAGAATCCTGTTGGTTGTGCGTGCTGCGTTTTAGCCAATCACCGCCGACAATTCACCGCCGACTGATGCTGTGCAATGCCAATATACACTTATTCCTCTCACAGCATATCAAATATACATATATCGTATTCTTATATTAATGAAAAATGTCTCTTCAATGTGTCACTTTTCTGTAACATTTTTGTCACTTGTCACTATGATTCCACGCGTGTAGTTGCTTAACAGTGTAAACCACAGAACCAGTTCTTGCCCGTCTCCATATTGTGTCCATATATACATTGAATTTATTCGGTAAAAGTAAAGTTGCCCTAAAATCGATAGCTAATACTTCATACGAAGGGTATTTTGTGTATGGAGTGTTGACTAACATCATTCGGCCAGGGACTTTTCTATAGCATCTGAATAAAATAATAATAAAAACTCTTATTATAATAAACATGTGATGATCAGCACACATGCAATGTGGAGTAAGCCATGCCCCAACTTCGATCAGTCAGGAGGTTGTTTCAGGCTCGATTCATGTTTTTATGATGGTGGTGGTGGTGATGATGATGATGGACTCACAATTTTAATTCCTTTTGACCACGTGTCACTCCCTTGAGTACCATTCCGTTTATTTACTACCGATGAGACCACAGAAAATATAACAATAAGGAAATAGCTCAAAATGCCCAGAACTTTCTCAGGATTTTCCCATTTAAGTTGCTATAGTAAACTATACCTTAAAGAGCTTAGGACTTATGTCGTCTTCGTGCGATCAGTGATTTTTTGAATGGAGGAGGTCCATAAGTTCCAAGTTCTGGTTTGGTTATGATGTAAGCTGGTTGATTGAAGTTTCGTTGTACGAAGTCATTTTGTGGTTTGTTCTGTTCGGCAGGAGGCTTTGATTGTTCACTTGGCTTCTTTTCAGGGGTTCCAGATGGTTTCTTTTCACCTGGTTTGTTGGCATTACCACCAGCAGGTGGTTGGGGCTGGCCAGGAGCAGGTTGGCCTGAAGGTGGTGTCTGTCCTGGGTATTGTGGTTGTGGTTGACCATATGGGTATTGTCCCATTGGTTGCCCCATTGGCATTGGTTGTCCCATTCCCATTGGTTGTCCCATTCCCATTGGTTGTCCCATTCCCATAGATTGTCCCATTCCCATAGATTGTCCCATCCCCATTGGTTGTCCCATCCCCATTGGTTGTCCCATGGACATTCCCATGTCCGGTCCCATTGGCGAGCATGGTGGTTGGGCACACTGCTGCGTTGGTTGCGGAGGTGGCATACAAGAGGGTGGACAATTTTGTGGAGGTGGTGGTGGTGGTGGTGGTGGTGGTGGTGGCATACATGGTGGTTGGGGACAAGGCTGAGGTGGTGGTGGAGGCATGCATTGAGGTGGACATTGCTGTTGTGGTTGTGGTGGTGGTGGTGGTGGTGGTGGTGGTGGTGGTGGTGGGGGCATGCATGGTGGTTGAGGACACTGCTGCATTTGTGGGAGAGGTTGAGGTTGCATACATTGTGGTGGACACTGCTGTGGTGGGGGTGGTGGTGGAGGAGCAGGAATCTGAGGGCATGGAGGTTGAGCACAAGGCTGAGGTGGTGGTGGAGGCATGCATTGAGGTGGACACTGCTGTTGTGGTGGTGGTGGTGGTGGTGGAGGGGGCATGCATGGTGGCTGAGGACACTGCTGTTGTGGTGGTGGAGGAGGCGGCATGCATGGTGGCTGACCACAAGGCTGTTGTGGTGGTGGCATTGGTGGGGGACAAGGCGGCTGACCACAAGGCTGTTGTGGCATTGGAGGAATTATCTGTGTAAACTGGAATGAACATGGGTCTTGGCCTTGTTGTCCACATGGCTGTCCCATTCCTCCCATTGGAGCTCCCATTTGTCCTGGCATTCCAGGTATTTGTCCTGGCATTCCAGGCATTTGTCCTGGCATTCCAGGCATTTGTCCTGGCATTCCAGGCATTTGTCCTGGCATTCCAGGCATTTGTCCCTGCATGCCATACATTCCTCCCATTCCTGGCATTTGTCCTTGCATTCCATACATTCCTCCTCCCATTCCAGGCATTTGTCCTGGCATTCCGGGCCTCGGCCCTCCCATTCCAGGTTGTGGTCTACCCTGTCCTCCAGCGCCGGGCTTTTCTCCTGGTTTGTTTGGTGGTTGATCCATAATTACTTTGCTGTGAGATTTTATTTCATTTCTGCATGTGAAAAGGCAGTTCTTGAGAACAAATGGCTGGTGACGAGGCATATTACAAAAGTTGTGTTTTCCCCAACCAGCGCATCTACTATCTCTGTCCATAGACAAAATACCTTGATGCATCAAAGAGAAATATTGAAATTAGATGAGGCATAACATGCTGGGCAGTTACATCAATAAATTATGTGCCATACCTATGGGGACATTTATATCACCATTGAGTAAAATGATCCAGGTACAGAATCGGGATAAGATGGGAAAACGATTTCCTTTTGTTGGTCCCAACTCGAAATTCTTAGTCACGATATTTGGCATACCGCAGAGTACAGTTTTAAGGCCATCAAATATTAGAGTTTTTTAAGCTTTATTGTGTGAAATAATTGTACCTGGTTTGCACATGCCGCAAGTAGCTTTGCAATCCCTTGACATCCTAGTTGGACTCAAATCACAGTATTTGGTAAACTTTTTGCAGTAGCGTTCGTTGTGATCTTTGCACCTGTCATTTTTTCCTGAAAGAAATATTTTGTTAAACTTTACTTTTATCGTGATGTTCTAAAATGCATTGTACACAAAATGGCCTCTTTGCATGCGTTTCACCAACCTGTATGTCCAGAGGCCTGACATTTCTAACACCAGAAATAGACCCCTTTCATTAAATCCCTAATTGCCAATCAGGGGGTCAAAACAAAAGAATTCCCTTCTCTTAAGAAATCTGTGATTTTTTAAAATACTTTTCATTGTGTGGTATTTGTGCATGGATGCCACATTCATTTGCACTGTCTGCATATTTACTACCTTGCATACGTTAGCGAGGTTGCAGAAGTTCATCGACTTAACAACCTGCATCTGCAGGCCACACATTTTAATGATCGATACTTGGTATCCATCTATCCGGCCTAACTAATAGCATTTGCTGATACGTTTTGCATTAATAGGCGAAGGAAATAACAAAATGCAAGTATGCCATGTTGTTTGACATTACGATAGCAAACAACGACATAATATAAGCGTTTTCTGTTAAGTTCAACCTTCATTGTAACCAGCAATTGGTCGACCCAGAGAGATTCTGGATTTACATCTTTCTTGGATGATGAGATTTCGTGAAAAGTTTGTTGACTCATGGTTTACTTACCGACAAGTTTTTTCATGAAGGATGATCTTCTGAATCCAATGCGTGAGATGGACAACCCATCAAGGAATGTCACAAAGAGCAGGAGCACTAGAGCTCCGGTTATCGCTGGATTCATGTTGGGGAATTCACTTCTGCAAATAAAAAGAGCTCTTAGTTTAGAGAGACTGATGGTATGGCATCGAATAACTAATGGTATTGATGATCTATCCCTAAGTATTTTAATTTTCTGATATTGTCAATGATATTCAATTGCAATTCTTGTACAACTCTTTGGTATACACCAGTATGCCTTTGTATTTGGCCAATATATTTTCAATTCCCCGTCCAACCTTGGTGGCCAAAAACATTGAAGAAAAACTTGGAAATTTGGAAACAATGGTGGAAAACATTTGGACTCTCTTTCATTGTCCCTAGATCAAGTGTCAAGTGGAAATCCCAAAGAATGAGAACAAGATGAATGTGGACATTGACACTAAAACAGTTGTCAGTTGGTAGTTCTTATACAATACAAGAGACTAAAGATTACTTGTTTACTAAGTAAGTTATAACTATTACAATCATAATGACATGATTGCATGAAAAGTCATTCATTTGGAACGAAAAGATAGATATAGATGTGTAAACATCATCTGTGGTGGGATATGATGGCGTAATTTGACGTACATCTCCAATTCTAAACTCTTCGGAGCTTTTCTCTTTTCCCTTATCGAATGAGTGAAAAAGATTTTCTCTTAACTGTTATGTCAAGAAGAAAGAAGAAAGGAATTTAAGCCTAGTTTCGCAATTGTCAAAACCGACGCCATTAACAATTCGACTATCCTCAGAATTAAAGTGGTGAAGATTTTGCTACTGAGATTTTTCTACTACTTGCTACTGACTGAAATATCGCACAAAGTTGAGCTGTAAATATGAAATTGTTCTCGTTGATTTTAAGACTTGAACCAAGGCCAATAACGATGCTTGCCACAAAATATGGTGTCCTAGTGAAGATCAGCCAAAGACCCATCTGGTCGACCAGCTTGTTCTTCAGGGTAGCATGAACTGGACCTGCTGCAGACAAGTGCCAAAATTCTCCACAACCATTGTATGCCAGTTTTAATCTTACCTTCAATCCTTGATTAAAATCCTTAGCATAAAATTTTTATTCCTAAAACAAAATGTCTACTCTACTTTGTATATCTAGCAGTGGTCGGGTTGGGTAAATCACGGGTTAGCGATGTTCATGGTGTTCGTCAAATGACCTCATTAGTTGGACACGGTTTCAGCTGGTACTCGATGATGTCATACAGTTGCCAAATTGATCCACCATCAATTAAAAACTATGTACAGTTATGGTGTTTGACAAATAAAGTTGCGATTTTTTTTTCTAATTTCTTAGAAGTTTCCTTGCAAAATTAGTAATCTTGTTTATCTTTTATTTATTTATTTTTTTCTTTCTCCAAGAATCAAACTTTTCTCTTGACCTCAAAGTCTCTTCGTTGTTTCAGGGTCTGTTTCACAGAAAATTCCCGAAAACTAGGATAAGATTTTGCAACGCTTTAATCACATCTTCCGTTTAAAGCTCTTATTGATTTCTCAAAGATTTTTCAACGCGATGAATGATCAAAAGTGGTATTCGTTATTTCTAAAGACAATTTCAGTTATAGGAAATTAGAAATAGAACTAAGTGACAACATCTCAATGTAAGGCCTATGTAAAGTTTCCATTTTTGTTAGCGTTTTTTCTCAATGAAATAAAGTTGAATAAAAGTCTGCGAAGAGTCGAGGTAAAATCCTATCTGAAATCTGACCAACACATTTTCTTTTTGATGGATTACGATAGAAAACCATGATCAATAAACACAGAAGTGTATTAGCAATAATAACGAAGAAAATACAGTCCAAAATTAAAGTAAACAGAAAAGAACACTTTTTTGTGTTAAATTTTGAGTCCATTACGAAATATAAGAAAAGTTTCGTTGTGGACAATTTGCCGAAGCCCGCAAAAGGAGAATGAAACAGGAATACAACAAGGCGTATTCGTATTCTCTTGTCATTTGGTATTTCAAAATAGTGAATTAACCACGGCAATTAGCTACCCAGACATTTATTTCTCGGACGGTTTGAACTGAATTTCTACTGACCCATGAAGAACACCCGTCGAATAAATCCTAACCCGTGTCTGGGTTCACTAGTTAAACTGCAAGTTCAATTTCTCTTACCTCGTGTTGTACCTCTGCCCTTGGGGATTAATGGACTGTGGTGTGATCCGTAAAGCAAGAACTGTATAATGATCATGAGCCAGTCACAACAAATGATGCTATGATTGGGTAAGCTGTCGCTGACTTCAACAGGCGATTAATGATTAAGGACTCGAAGACATTACACCACCCGTAATGATGTCAAAAACTGTCAGCCATACCAGTCAATATACGCGAAACAGCTTTATTAGATTCGAGGAAATGTCAGTCTTAAATTTAGAAATACCTAAAAAAAATTTCACGTAAACGTTAAGAAAGGTCTGACATATATCTTTGCGTTGCGGAATTTTTGTGTCGGCGGAAGCTTTTGTGAAAATAACGTCATAGTTTGATGCAGAGGAAAAATTTGAATTTTTTTGTTTTTGTTTTCGTTTTGTCGAAAAGGGACTGTCAATCAGTATTGACAAGTTGGATGAATATCTTATATCTTTCTCTAACGATGGAGCGAGGTTATTGGCTGAGAGAATCAACGAGAATCAAACTTTTGTGAAAGTAACGTCATGGTTTAATGCAGAGGAAAAATTGAATTTTTGTGTTTTTGTTTTCGTTTTGTCGAAAAGGCTCTGTCAATCAGTATTGACAAGTTGGATAAATATCTTATATTCATATCTTTCTCTTACGATGGAGTGAGGTTATTGGCTGAGAGAATCAACGAATCATGAAACCTTCCCTAAACATAACTAATCGTGTTGAAAGTCATGGGCTACTATGTGACATGATAACTCACAGATCAAAACGGCCCTGAAAAAACCTCTAGGCTGATCCAAGTTAGGGCATGGCTAACTCACAGATTGAACCGTGAAACAATCTCTGGGCTGATCAAAGTCAGGGCATGGCTAATACACAGTCTGGGCTGATCGAAGTCACAGATCGAATTGGAATCTAGAGTTCACAATGAAATACATATATTTTTAGTTCAAAGGAAAAATGACGTTATGTTAACCCTTCAAAGTGCAAAGAAGAGATAACTAGCTAAAAACTAGTGTGAGCTGGGTCGGTGTTTCTAATGAAACAGTAATGATAAAGGGTAAATTTTACACCGTGAAAAAATTAAAAAAAACTTACTGACCTTCGTCGGAGTAAAAGAGCAGTGATAGTTGTATTTTACTCGACACAATTTTTATCACCTCTCCGATGCAGCCGGCGTAAACTCTGAGGCAGAATTGATGGTTTTCAACCATTCCCAAGAGAATTAAATAACAAAAGTCACGGCGGCTATGTTGGAGGATATAACAAAAGAATTCATTGACAATTCTTTTGTTAAGTTCCTCCAACATGGCCGCCGTGAAAACCATCAATAATCTATTGTCGTCACAACTTGACCTCTATGATAGGTTATTCTGACAACTATAAAGTAACTTGTCTAATTAGAGTAAAAAGAAAGTATTTTTGTAATTAGGCAGGGGTTTTTTTTACAGTGTCTTGGTAATTCTTGTATTGCCTGTTATGATATATCGACATTTGGCTGTCAAATATATTTTTTGTGTGAGATATTGTAAAGGTATTAAGAAGTAAGGAAAAAGTACTTGCTAAATCTTCTTTGTAAAAAGTGTATGTGTCGGATTAGTGGTTTTATAATTGCCATCTCTAAGTACTTGACAGTGGAAATGAAAGTGATGGATCTTTGAAAATGGATGTGTGAAAATGGATAGATTATATTGGGATGAATGGATATTGGGATGGATGGATGATTGGGATGGATAGATGATTGGTCATGGACGGATGGTTGAGATGGAAGGATGGTTGAGATAAATGGATGATATAGATTGATGGATGATCTTAAGCCATACGTTATTCGCTGATTCTAGCATGCCTTTTTCTAATCTCAAGTAGTTTGACTACGAGGTGTTATGGTATTCTAAGGACGAAAAACAACAAACATTTCGATATAAAACCACTTAGGGCATCCTTGGGCAGCTTTTTTTGTTTAACCTAAGCCTCGGTAATCCTCTAGTGTTGCTGCCTGTCTCCGTCTGTTTACTGGTAGAGTCTAGAGCCTTTTTGGCTTTGTCAATTGAATATGATTTTAAATGGAAAAGTCACGACTTTATCAGCGGAAACGTAGCAATATACCCTGGAGCTCACTTCTGTGTTGTAGTTCATTGCTGAAAAATACAAGATAACAGAATCATTTTAGTTTTTTTTTTCGTGCGTTCTAATTGGCTGTTGGAACAGGCGGTATTTTCTATCTTTAGCCGCGCTCCGGTGTCCTGGGATCATAACAGACTGCTAGACAAAAACAAAACAAAACAAAAACAAACAAAAACAAAAACAAAAACAAAATCATTAAAAAAAAAAAAGAAAAAAAAAAAAAACCAAGTGGAAAAGTAAACGGGGGGAAAAAAAGTCATTATTTACCGTCTTGAAATCAGTCCGGATAGGGAAAAATTGTGCTCTCGTCCTCGGCCGGTCCGTATATTCAAGGCCTCACTAAAGTCTACGCTTTTCCTATCCGGACGTCCTGGTCGGTAGATAACCTCTATGTATTATAACACATCAAGAGGTGTTGGGTACCGGGTACTGCAAGCCCTCCCAGTCATATGACAATCCTTTTGCCCCTATTGATGGTTTTCACGGCGGCCATGTTGGAGGAATCCTCCAACATGGCCGCCGTGTCTTTTGTTATTTAATTCTCTTGGGAATGGTTGAAAACCATCAATTGCTTACGTGAATGTTTTCGTTAACTTGCCGGATATCGACAAAGCCGATAATTTATGAAGTCAGATGATTCAGGGGAAAAAACGTATTATAATGGTCATTAGTTTTCTTTTGACGCCAAAGTCTTGCCTAATGAATAGCTAGTTTGGCACGTTTGATGAGATAATAAATACAACTGTCGCTGGAAAAACATTATTCAGTGYATAAATATAACCGGACACGATATGCAAAAGACGAAACAAACAAATGCTGCAATATCAATGAACCTTTATTTTATACTAATCTCTGTAAACGACTTTACTAATGTGGCTTTCATTAACTTAGTGAAAACCTGGCTCTTCTGGCTAACTATGGATATACAACGATTTATGAATAAATTAACTAAGCGTGGGTGACTCGTTTGATAGAGCCAACTTAAAGGGCCATCAATATCGACCCAATCAAAGTGGTTTTTCCCCGTCTCGTTTTATTGACATGTTTCGGCAAACAATGTGCAAATAAAAAAATAAAATAAAAAGCTCGTTTCTTCAGTTTTCCATAAGCAAAAATCTTTCACCAAATATGGACGATTTCACAGTTTTTTCGCGTGTTTTTTCAATTACTTTGTAATCTCGTACCACATCTCTCTCTCTTTTCACCTGTTAAATGAAATCGGCCTTTGGGTTTTGAGGTGAGATTATTCCCAAACATTTTTGAATAGAAAGTCTACCGTTAATGGGAGCAATTTTTGACATATTTGAAACCCATAGAAACCGTAACTAGGACATCTGGATTGAGAGAGTCATGAGTGTTTTGGCCGTAACTCGATATTTGAAGTGGGATTTTATGAGTATGAATTTGCATATTGCGATATTTGCATGTGCGCGAGACTTCTTAATAAAGAAGGCCTTTGAAAAGGACACCACATATAATAGCTAGAAAAGGTACCAATCACTCTGTGTTTTAACAGACTTTGAAGGTGAGATTGAATTCGGGGGGAAAAAGAAGGCGGAAGCGGAGAAAGATTTGGTTCCTGAATTTTCTCACGATTCTAAGGTTAGTTGGCTGTTTGCTACAACAGAATGCGCTTGACGCCAAGGAAATGAAAAAGAATGGCCATACAGCGAGCTTAAAGTGATCAATTTTAGGACTCGGGTTACGAGAACGGATTTGAAAGATTGAAAATCGTATAGTGTTTATTTAGCGACGGTTATAAGACAATCCAAAAATATTCATCTGTCTAGTGTGTTTTTGGAGCTGTTATTCTCTTCAAATCTCTTCATCCCATGCCACAAAAGCAATCGTAAAATGTTTAACTGTAAAAGCAGCGGTTTTTCTCCTCCTCACGATTCTTTTTTTTTTTTAATTCACAGGGTAGAGCCATCAATCGACAGAGAAATATTTCCAACTTGAGGAAATTTCCAAAGGTTTGAATTTAACTAAAAAAGCGTATGAAATTCAGCTGGCTTGCTTGAGAACACATTGATCAAAAGAAAGAAAGAAAGCCACAGGGTAGCTTTGTCCTTTCACAACAGTGATATGAAATACTGACTAGGAGCAAAAGGAACGCATATCCAAGGTACTACACGCATTACTAATCTTTATTACTTCAACACAATTCTCTAATTTTTTTTCTTTTTTTGTTCGTTTCTTTTTCTCTTTTTTTTTTTTTTTTTTTCTTTTTTTTTCTTCATTTTTTTTCATCTGTATTACATCGTTGGAAATTTTATCAATTCAGATTCAAATTTTTCAAGCCTTATTCTTAGCTTCTCATTATATTTCCGGATGCCTAGGAAAGGTTACTAGTATTCTTTTCCAAAAGAGATAGTTATGGAAAAAATTGATTCCGCGAACCTTAATTAATAAAATAAACTGCTCTAGCCACCAAAAAAATTTTTACGCCAATATCATCAAGAAAAGAGGTTAATATCCCCCTATCCTAATGGAATATTTTTTCCATGTACGAACAATAATATTCTTCGGTTGAAACTAAAAACCAGATATTCCTGTTTTGGAATTTCCTCTCTGTATTTCCTTCATAAATTCTAAATAACGCGGAATGTTTGTTTTTAAATGATTCAATATAGATAGCCACAATCGTTTCTTTTCGGCTTTTTTATTTTTGGCGAATTGTAATGTTTAGGAGCCTAAAGGGGTATTTCATTAGCACCTGCGAACAACAATGACTTAAAAACAAAATTAATTACATCGCTAATTCAAGCCCCAAACTTTTGCGATTTTTAAGTTCTAGATTGACAAGCAAAAATGAACTATATACTATCGACAGACATGTACAGATATTTTACGAATTTAATTTTGGAGGATGTACTGAGAACTGGCAGACTTGGAGGCCATTTGACAATTTTCGTTTCCTAGGCAACCGAACTGCGAGGTTTTTATCTGCTTGGCTGAAATTGAAATCATGATGACGTACTAAAAGCATGAAAAACCATCCAATAAGAAAACGTTTTTTTTTTTCGGTAGAAGGGATTTGAACCTGGTTTTAAAAGCAATTTGTTCTCAAAGTAAACAGACCTTTTAATTCATTCAAATGCGGCTTTATGAATCGTTGTGCTGCCTTAAAATATTTCAAAACAGCGCTTTCATCGTTTCTTCATTCATTATATTCAGCTTAACCTCGATATACCTATCTCATAAGCTCACTAGAGAAGCAGAATGCCGCGATAGATGTTTGAATAAATGTAGTGTCAGACTTCAAATCCTATATATAGGACTTCAATCAGTCACGATATTTGTCAGTTGTTAGTGACATTTGACTTATCGCTAATATACAGAGATGAACTACGGCTATTTGGGGTTGTCTTTAATATTAATACTGAATATTTTTTCCCGACGAATTAGGGCTCGAGTCGTTATGCGATATTAAGCTAAGAATTGGGCCAATACTGGGTTCATTTTAGAAACGTTGAATACGACATATTTAATTCTTGAATAAACAAGTCCTCTGCTTGGCAAATACCTTATTTTTTTCAGTTTTTCGTACATTTAAAAAAAGTTTTTGAAATTGCTATATAAGAAATACTCATCTTAGAAACCGGTTGAATAAGACCATATAGTTTTCTTTGCTTAGAATTGCATGAATTCCTTCAATATTGAGTTTTCACACATTTAAAAAGGTTTTTGAAATTGCTATATAATTACATTGAGTGTCCTCACTAATATATTATAAAACAGCAATTGGAAGTTTTCTACAACATTATGGAGTTTTTTCTTAATTTTATGGACTTTTCTCCAATATTTTTTTTCTCATTGTGAAGTTTTCCCCAATATTAGGGAGCTGTTTCTCAGTATTAGGGAGTTTTTCCCCAGTATTAGGGAGCTTTCCCCAATATAAAGGAGTTTTTCCTCAATATTAGGGAGTTCTCTATTAAGACATGTATGCCATTTTGACTTGACTGACAAGTTTAGGAACTGTTTTTCTTTTAATTTGTGCCTTTTGGCAGAGGAAATAAGTATCCATATTTTGTATAAACAGCAGTAAAACGCAAAGCCCTTTCCAAACAGCAAAAGCAACCATTCAATTATTTTTTTCAAGTACTGTTTCTCAAGTTCTGCAAATCAGTAAGAAATTAATTAGTCAAAGCACAGCACATTACGATCTTACTAAGCCTTACTCTTCAAATGAGCCAATCACAAGCCAGAGATGCACAAGAGTATGAAGTCTGTTTATCTGGCTATATAAATCTGTAAAGTGGCTGCTCATCAGGTGTTTCGAATTTTTTTTAGTATAATTAAGTACTTGTTACAATTACAATAATTGCCTCATATTTCCAATGCTGTTTTATCACTGGTTTATCAGGTCCCTTTTTGAGACTTTATATTCCATGCCCACTCATTATTAAAGCTTCCCACCTCCCCTCCCCACCCCTCCCCTACGATACGTTTCATTAACTTTAGTCTGTCTTACCTCTCTACCCAAAATTCTCTTTCAGTTTGTTTTTACTTTCCCTCTCCTCCCCTGTTAAGTGAATTGCTCTTACAATTGGTTTGCTAAGCTTTCTCACCCGTACTGCTCTTGACTATTTACGTTCTTAATATCCTCCCTGTAGTAGCTTTCCCTTCCCCTCCCCTGTTATGTGAATGGCTCTTACAACTGGTTTGCTAAAATTTCTCACCCCTACTGTTCTCGACTGTTCTTAATATCCTCCCTGTAGTAGCTTTCCCTTCCCCTCCCCTGTTAGGTGAACTGCTCTTGCAAAGATCCTTCCCCTTTACGGTGTTTTCATTTTCATAGCTGATTTGCTCCCCTCCTGTCTGTCACTGTCCTTCTCCCTCAGTCAGTAACAAATCTTTTTTCCCCACCCCTCTCCTCTAGTGTGTTGAGGTGAGGTGCAAGCAGAATGAATAAAAGGCCAAGATCTCCGGAAAATCTACGACAGCGACGTCTACCAGAAGTGTAAATAACTTAACTCTTTGGAGTTTTGCACCATCAAACTCTGTCTTCCCTGTGGATGAGATGATCTTACTAACAATGATTTTAATGAAATCTCCAATGAACAGAACCCCAAAGAGAAATTATTTACACTTCCAGTTGACGTCGCTGTCGTAGATTTTGTAAATCTTAAAATCCTTTGGTGTCTCTATGAAGAAGAGGATTAAAAAGCTATTGTCATTCTAGCTGTCGTAAAATTAGAATAGCCTGTGTAAAAAAAGTAAGCATAAAACATAGTGTCTGTAGTCAGTAAGAAAAACCTCCATGAAATCGACTTCTTCCCGACTTCTACTCGCAGCAGCTGTCCAAAGCTAAATCATTCTATGCTACACCATTGTTTAATGTTCGATCAGTGTTTATACACAGAAATGTATGCCTTATTATTAGTCCTATCGCGTCTCGTTCTCTCGCGGGCAATTTTTAATTATCTCTCAATATCGAAATAATACTGACTGAACTGAAATTGTGGCTACCAAAATTCCGACTAAAAATGGCGGCTTGTCGTCACCTGATCGTCTCCATTGAGTGAGCAGTCATAATTACTCAGTTAACATTCATAGAAGCCTCGGTTTTTAGTCTCGTTTTCCCCCCAAGTGAAATAGAAAACCTAGCAAATGTATGTATCTATAGTAGCGGTAGTGCGCTCACTTCTGGGGCTCGGGTTAAAATCTTGGAATCGGCACAATTTCTCTGCCAGCCCGCAACACAGTTTTTACTGCGGTTTTTTTAATAAGCTTGTTTTAAATTCAACGTTTGACAGAAATGCTGCAATATGGGGATATCCGAGTGCTCATCATGTACTTATAAAAAATTAAACTGATTTGCGACTTATACAAGTGTCTTTTATTGACCTCTTTACTTTGGGCGTATAAATGTTTTACCATTTCAGATGACACTGTCATTCTCTTGCTAAATGAATTCTTTATTTGTTTTATATCCATATTCAAGTTTCTTATCATTTATAGCTGTTAAACAAAGAAATGATACTCTGGGGAATGACACATGGTCTGAGCCGAAAAGGCCGGGTTTATTGAGAAAGCATTGAGTGCAATTCAAGCCGACCCTTAGGTCTTTCAATCAAATCTATTGTTTCTTGTTTTACTTTTGTTTGATAGGATTAGTCTTGACCAATTGTTAATGGGCAGCGAAAATTTTAGAACCTGAATTAGTGAAACTGACAAAAGTACTCTTCCGGCAGTGAAAAAAGAAGAAGGAAAGAGAGAAAGAAAGAGAGAGTGTGAGTGAGTGAAAGAAAGAAAGAAAGAAAAAAAGAAAGAAAGAAAGATAGATAGATAGTAAGAAAGAAAGAAAGAAAGAAAGAAAGAAAGA